AGTCCATTGCATGAGTATTCTAATGATGCGTTGGTGAGTTCATTGCTTGATATGGATTGTAAGTGATGCGATTTTGGCAAATTAATGCTCCGTTTAGTAGAGATGGTAGAAAATATGAAAGATGAAAAATATGAAATATACACTTTCTATCTTTTAAGGATGAAAAATAGAAAGGATACATTTTCCTTCTTTTGTATTTGGTTGGATGAATGAAAAATAAAAATGACAATTTTTTTTTTGTTGGCTAAGATCAGAGGTGACAATCGAGTCAAGCCGTGTCATGTCAGATTCATATTGAATCATTACGAGTTTGTGTCAAATATTAATCAAATCTAACTTAACTTATTTAACTAATTGTGTCGTGTCGAATTACAAATTGACCTATTTATTTTTGTATCGAGCTCGAATCGTGTCATTGTATTAAGTCGAAAATTTTCACCTTTAGTTAAGATGGAAACAATATATTTTTTTTTAATTTAATTTTTTAATTTTTAATTTATTTTAAAATTTATTTTTAAAATTTTTTAAAATATATATACATATTTTACTATTATATTTTTATATGAAATTAATGTATACATAAGATATATAGACAAATAAGATACATCTCAACACAAATAATTAACTTTTCATCCACTTTTTCGATTTTGGAGGGATTGATTTTGGTGAGTTGGAGGGAAAGTTAATCCATTTATTTTTCGATATTTTCTACTTTCCTTTCTTACCAAACATGATGTTTTATTTATTCTTTTAATTTTTCATCCTTTCACTTTTTCATCGTATCGAACGGAGCATAAATGAGCTTCTCTTGGAATTTGAAGCAAAAGAGATCGTTACTATCCCTATTTGCGAACAACTTCCACAATGTTGTTTGTTTTGGCAGTATACCAAATCTGGTATTTTTTCTGTAAAGAGTGGATACTGATTGATTATACAACAGAGATCGCAGAAAGGTCAGAGTTCTAACAGAGGAATGGGTAGTTGATCGACATATGGTATGGTAAACCTCATTTAGAAGCTCAACTTACTGGGTAAAATCAAAATTTCTATTTGAAAGACTTTTTGTAAAATTTTTTGACCAACTTATCTTATTTGATCACAAAGCAGGAAACCTTTCATTCATGAAATCGAAAAAGAAATAATATGCTTTAAACCACGTAAATAAATATATAATTTGTCATATTTGATGGCATTTCATCTAAAACTCCCTCGAACTTAGTCGAGTGTCTAAACACCCTCTAATGGGTTTTAGCAGGCTAATCTCGTTGATAGACCAAAAAGTTTCAATTTTGTTTTTTAAATGTGAAAATTGAGATTGATTCCTCCTTAAGGGACTTATAATGAGTTTATCCCGTTAAAGAAACTTATTTGAGGTTAAGTCTGTTTTTAATCTTACTAATAAGTAGTTAAGTTTACTATTTTTTTAATACTTCTAAATACTCTTCCTTTAAAACAACTTTAAACTAATTTCCTAATTTGAGAATTATTATTACTTAATTTACTATTAATGAAGACACCCCAATAAATTTTTTTATATAAATTTGAAATTTAAATTCAAAGAACAACTGATACTCTCTTTCTTTTTCTCTCCCTCTATATAAATCTTTACTATATTACTGTTTTTGTTGGACATGTTATTATTCATATTACTGTTTTTGTTGAGCATGTTACTACTATTATTTTTTCAAATACTAATATTCAATGTTATTGCTTTTTTTTTTTTGTTTTTGAATATTATTATTTTTTTGTGTTTAAATGTTACTAATTTTTTTTTGTTTTATATGGTACAAATTTTTTTGTATTTGAATAATATTATTTTTTGTGTTTAAATGTTACTATTTTTTTTTTTTGATGTATATATATAAGACTGAGAAAATGAATATAGATAGATATGAAAAAGAGTGAATTTTAATGTTAGTCAAATTTCTAAAATTTAGGAGTTCTAAGTTTTTAAATTTATTTTAATTAAATATAACTACTAGAATATTTTAGATAATATAAATCAAAATGAACTTAATATTAAACAAGTTTTTTTAATGGATTTTTCACCAAATAAATCTACAAAAATGAACCGGCCTCCAAATTTGCTTTTTTAAATTTGAGTTATCATTTGTTTTTCGGGAAATTTGAAGGCCAATCCCTTTTGTGTACTTATTTGAAGATAAGTCCGTTAAGAAAACTTGTTTAATATTAAGTTCATTTTGATATTTATTGTTCAAAATACTCCTAATAGTTACGTTTAATTACAAAAAATTTGAAAACTAATAACTCCTAAATATTATGAGTTTTACTAACATTAAAATTATTTCTCTCATATCTATGTCCATATATAGAATATGACTATTTATTTCTCTCATGTATATATATATATATACACACACACACATAGTAACATTTAAACACAAAAAAAAATAGTAACATTTAAACACAAAAAAAATAATAATATTCAAAACAAAAAAAAAATAATATTGAGTATTAATATTTGAAAAAATAACAGCAGTAACATACTAAAAAAGACAATAACATAAATCGTAACATGCTTACAAAAATAATAACATGAACAATAACATGCTCACAAAAACAGTAACATAAACAATAATATGATACAATTATATATATATATATGAATTGAAATTGATAGTGAATTAAGGAATAATAATTCTCAAATTAGGAAACTAATTTAAAGTTGCTTCAAGGAAGGGTATTTTGGAGTTTTAAAAAAATAGTAGATTTAACTACATATTAGTAAGATTAAAAATAGATTTATCCCAAAATTAATTTTTTTGACGGACTAAACTCATTATAAGTCTTTTAAGGAGGACTCCGCCCCACTTTTCACTTGTTTTTTTTCCCCTTCAATTTAGTGCAGCTATTGGTTGGGTCATCATTCTTATCCAATGGGCCTTAATCGGGCCAGAGAATGGAGCCTATTGGGGGCGAAAATGTAGTCCATAATCCTGAACTATCGGATCATCCATGGTCTGATACTCTGATGGATCGGGGGGTAACAGATCAGTATGGGCCAAAAGCTATTTTGTCGAGTCTTAGCAACTTAACGGGCCTTATTGGAAATGACCCAACCATGATACCAACCTACAGCCATCTACAGTCAAAAACTCTCAACAGGGTTAGGGGAGGGTAAATTATAATTTGAACAATGCTATTGAGACCTAATTTACTGATCTAATTTGTTGATCTAATTCATTATGACCTTTGGATTGACTGTGGAGTCTATCAAACATTGAAACTTGGTGTTGATCCAATGGTTCTATTGAAGTCACATCTTTATATCAGCAAATTAGGTCAAATTTTTAAGTCTAAATAGTATTACTCTTATAATTTATATCTTCAGAGTATGCATTTAATTTTTAGGATTAATTGCACTTAAAGCCCTTAAAGTATGAAATTTATCTCATTTTGGTTCTCAATGTTTCAATTGCATCATTTTAGTCCCTTAAGTAGACAATGTCCAAATTGCTAATAATTTTTATCATAAACTTGTCACGTGATACTTAAATATGGATAAAAAAATAATTTGTATAACTCTTGATCAAATTTTGGTTAAATAGCTGTCTAAATTACATAGTTTTGATCATGAATTATCCAAATTTTGGTCAAAAGTTACCCACATATTACACATTTTTGTTATCGGCAATTACTTAAATTTTGTTTAAAAGCTATTAAAATTATTTTTTATTCATATTTAGATATCACGTGACAAATTTATGATAAAAATTATTAGTAATTTGGACGTTGTCTATTTGTGGGACCATATAGAAACATATTAAATACTTTAAGGACTAAAATGATGCAATTGAAATATTTGAGACCAAAATAAGACAAATCTTATATTTTGGGGACCTTTGGTGCAATTAACCTTAATTTTAATTTGATCATTGATTGTAACGGCAAATCCATAGAATTTTAATTCTTATTCAATTTTGTCCATATCAAAATCGACCAATTATTATGACAAAATGAAATTCCACGACTAATACATAATTTAGGTGATGGGATATATTTCTCCAATATTTTTTTTTAACGTATATGCTAGAAAACCTCACTTTATTTCGTATGACAAATTCAAACAAATAGATATAGAGTGAGAATTTGAGAGAAACTATGAAATAAAGAGAGAAATACTAATTTATTTTTTTTGAACGAGAAAAAAGGGGAGGGATAATAAGTCGGAAATAACCTCCTTAGAACATCTCCAATAATAGAAGTTAGTTTAGCTACTCAAAAAATAATATTTTTTATTTTAACTATTTATTTTTTTAATACACACTCTAACAGATTTTTTATATTCTTAACTACTTCCCTTAAATATTATTTTTCATTCTTTTTGTAGTATTTTTCTTTGAAAATAGTGAAAAGAGAGAGAATAGAGTAAAAGAAATTATGAGAGATAGAATATTATAAAGAATTTATAATACACATTCTATAGTGATACCCTAAATATGAAAGTATCACCGTAGTAAAATGCTATTTTATATATTTTAGAGATATTCTGTTAGAGTGAAATTTTAGAACAAAATAACTAAATTTTAAAGTTTTTGTATCACTTACCTATTCTCTTGGAAATGCTCCTAGGCATGATCATGGGAATTCCTTGCTGTTGAATATTCGATTGGAGTCATACCTATTAATCCAAAAATATATTTCGTCACTATAATACCATCAAAGTCGAGCAACAAACTGTATTAATACTGTAAATCAAACGTTATTTGATAATTACACGGAAGTCAAAGATGACTCTAAACGAGTATGACTTACGCCTTAGATTAGAAGCTTGAGTGGTTAAATATATTTGAAAGGGGTATATTTTATTAGATAAATATATTGTGACGGGTAAAGTTCCTTAACATGGGAACAAAATAATAGATACAAATAAAAGGACTTAATTAAAACTCGTTAAAAAAAAAAACTCTAATTTTAGGAATCAAATAGAAATTTGTGCTAAAAGGAAATAAATTATAAATTCTGAGAAACAAAGCTCCGTTTACGGGAGAGAGAGAGACAGACAGTGAAATGGAGGTGTTGGGGTGGTGGTTGATGCTAGTGGGCTCACTTCGATTGGCGTCTGTTTGGTTCGGTTTCTTCGATATATGGGCTCTCCGACTCGCCGTCTTCTCCAACACCTCCAGTGAGACTTTCCCTCTTTTTCAATCAAATTCCATACAACATTCATCTTGTTCGTGTTTCATGTTCATTGTTTGATTTTTCACGTTCTTAGTTTAATTCTCATTCTGTGTGAGTAATATCGATTGAGTGGAATGATTTTGTGTGGATGTTCTGGTTTGATTTGGTAATGGGAGTCCCCGAGACAGAGTTGTGTGCATCCCAGATTCATTAATTTCCCTTGCTTCTGGGAACATTGTCCTTACTGTTGATTCTGTTGCAGGCAGTGCAGATTAAGATTTCCATACCGGTACAACCTTTTACGAGTGTTTATACAATTTTGTGGGCGTTTTTTGCAATCATCCTAAAAAATTTAGGATCAATCTCAAGTACCCAAAAAAGATTTATATAACATGACCTTAAAATGGTACAATTTTTTAAAGAATCGATTTCAATATTTCAGGATCGTTCATAACTTTTTTGTTGTCACTAGACCGCATCTTAACCCATAAAAGTTATAACCTATGGTACCCAAATTGAATCCGCAATATGCCTTTTCAAACCAAAACAAAATTTAACATGTTTGTTTTGATATATTTTTTTAGTTGTTTTGTGCTATGATTTTTGTCTTGAAATGTTGACATTTTTCCGGGTGCATTTTGTTCTTATTTATTTCTTGTGTTTTGTAGTGTCTGAAGTTCATGGAAGGACATTTGGAGTTTGGACGCTGTTGACCTGCACTCTTTGCTTTCTTTGTGCTTTTAACCTTGATAACAGGCCACTCTATTTAGCGACCTTTCTATCATTCATCTATGCCTTTGGCCATTTCTTGACTGAATACCTTGTATACCACACTATGGCTATTGGGAATCTGACGGCTGTTGGAATCTTTGCAGGTACTGATGCTCTCTAAATAAAACTTACCATTTTATGCATTTTGCATTGCAATTTCTTTTCTGTGTGCCTGTGTGTTTGATTTCATTTATGTACTTTTAATCTCTTTCGATTGAATTGGATTTTTTTTCCCCATTTCATGTCTTGTGCTAATGATTGTTTAGTTTGGGAGGTTCTAAATTAAAGGGTCAATGCAAGCTGAATATTCTTTTTCTTTCCTATGTACTTATATTAATGGTTCATGAAAGTGAGGATTGGTTGGTGCAAATAGAAGTTTGCAATGGCGGTCAACATAGATTGGAATTCATTATCTCCCATGCCATTGCTTCATGCAACATCTCATCATCGCCGACATCATCATTGCCAAAACCTTATTCCAAATTTTTAAGGTTGGCAGTGCTGATCCTGCTCGATCAATCTATAATTACAAAGTGCCCCATTTTCCTTAATTTATGAGCTTTTAGATCATCTGTTTTGTAGTGGGTACCAGTGACCATTCTTTTTTTTGCCTCTTTTAGAATCCATACCGGTGAACACCATCTCCTTAGCCTCAAGATCTTTTTCTTATCAATTCCATTGGTGTCCTGTTTGGATCATTTCTGTCACTTTACAACACTTGTCCATACACCTTTGACTACTTCTGCAAACAATAATTGGGATTTCTCATGTGTTTCTGCTTTATGATCATCTTAGAATTCATCTTTCCCTGGTTAATCTACTTGTCATCCTTTGGCGTTAAACTGGTTCTCCGCAGTCCCCTGCTTTTTCCGCTTGAGATATCGAGAAGCTAGATCTTTATGCAAAATATGTTTATAAATGCACCATGCACGTGATGGTACTACAACATTTTCATTGAATTCGGTTGAGAGGTTTCGTGAGTATCATTGTGTGGATTTTATAGATAACCACAGCACCCTCTTGTGAAAATTCATGCCCTTATGGAAATTCTTGTTCTGGTCTGTGTTCTATCCCTGCATGAATGTCGATCAGATTCTATCAATCTACTGTGTATTTCAGAGTTTAAAGAACCCCCTACACAAACCATTCTTAATATTACCAAGTCCTCTTCAATAAGTTCCTCTGTGGGAGCTTTCAATGTGTACCAAAGGACAGATCGTTGGGAAATCCTGTGAGCAGATAATCCTGAAGATGGATGCCACAGGACTTCTCAAAGTAGGGGACTTAATGCTGCAATATCGGTTTGCAACTGTGATATGCCTTCTGTGCAAGGGCCAACAAAACTTGCCCATTGAATGCTTATATCTATTTGTTGGGTCGGGAAGTAAATTTTACCAGCTTTTATAGGCCAGTAGCTGCTGGTTCTCTGGCCAGGTTTGATTAGCTTAAGCTGAAGGTTGGCTTCCTAATTATGATCTAAAATATGCATTTTTCATTTAGCTTAGCTTCTGTCCTGAAAGCGTGAAGCCTGCCTTGTATTTGGTAAAGCAGAGCTCCATTGAGCTTGTTGACCTCCATACTTCTATTAGTTCTTGCAAACCGCTTATGGATGACAAGGGAGCTAGAATTCTTTTGTTTTTGCTTCTGGCTGCTCGTATATGAAATGAATCTTGTAACTCTGGGTTTTATGTGTACTACGAGCTCAGGATTATTCATAAATCCATAAAAGCCTTTCTTTTGGGATCAGTCCCATCCTTAGATGTGAAGTTCTTTCAAGTGTAGTGCATGCCATTAACTCATTATTAAACTTTTTTTCTAAACCAGAGTTTTAGCATTTCATTTCCATCATTTCTGTTCAAGCTTAATGGAGATCACTAAATTGATCTTGGCTGGCTAATTTTGTTCTCAGGCACATCCATAGTATGGATGTTGTTGCAGTGGAATGCACATCAAAAGACCCATATCAAGAAGTCTTGAAAGTGAAATGAAGCATGGGCCATCTGCATATCACACGGGACGCTGAGGATTTCAGGTTACTTCTGTTTCTATTTTTTGTGATGCCTCCTTGCACTCAATTCCTTTCGAATAAGCCATCAAGCTTTGCTGGTTGAGCTCACATGGATTTCTTCACTGAATATTGTGGTTAGTATCCATATTGCTAGTTCTGAATGTCAAACTACTGCTCCGGCCAACTTAGTTATTGTTTAAAAACAATTCGGGTTCATTATCAGGATTCCTTTATGTGCTGCAATCATTGGAGAATGAAGTTTGTCGAAAATCAATCACAATCAATAGAACTCCTATTTTTCAAACATAAAGTGCAATGTTTGCTGAACCCAGGTGATGCTGTAGCTTCTAATAAACCAGTTGTCCTAACCCAATCATCTGCACTGTACCATTGTTTCCAATCTGAAGACTCTTGTGGGATTGAGTTTGACACTATATGTTCCTCTCCCCCATCTCTTGATGAATGCACGGGCACTGTATGCCCAATTTATGCATACACTAGAGACCATCCCGTGTTGTGTGGAAAATGTCCATTTATGTGCTCAATAGGTTTTTTTTTTAATATATAAATGGGAAGTGGTTATCAGAAATAGTGAAAAATTCACATTTAACAAAAATGATAAAGTGGTCACATAGGCGATTGGAGGGGATCATTTAAATAATTCAAAATTACGAAAATTTATTATTTGAGAGGGGAAAGTTTCTCAGGCCATCTTCTGTGAAATTTCGTTGTTATACATAATAGTATAAATTTCAATCTTCACAGCAAGAGTTGGGTTTTCTTTTGTTTAGGGTGGAGGGGAATGGGGTTTGGAAGTCTTTCCGTTTTGAAGGCTGTCGGTAGTCCATCTGTGGTCTATCAGTGATTTGCTATAGTTGTACCTTGTATTCCATGAAGATTATTGACAGAGTCTAGGTTTCATATATCAACCAAATGCGAGAGTGGTATACTTCTGATTGTGTAATTAGCCTTTCAAAATACATGTCTTCACTATTTGTTGGCAATTTAGGCTCCAGTGCTGCGGTATGAACTGCTTCATTTTTTTTAAGAAGGAAAAGCAAAGGTGATAGTGTACAGTAAATTGATTTAAGCATATTGGGAAGCATTGAAGAAAGTTGAGATTCTATTATTCTACTTTATCGGCTTTTCCACATCAAATTCTTGATCTGGAATTGCTTAAGAAATAGGTTAACTAACAACATCATGTTGCAGATCTTCTAAATATTTGTGCTTGAAGATCGATGCAAGAGAAGTAGGCAGGAGGAAAAAAACCTTGGAAAAAGGTACGTCTATGTGCTTTTTGCCTGTTCTTTCCTCACTGCTCTCAATTCTCCATATCTACTTTCAGTGGTTACAACTTTGTTTTTCTGATCACAAAACTAGCACTGTGTTCCTCCTTTTAGTGTTCCTCTTTTGCTTTCTTGAAGGCCCTTTGAAGCCCAGTGCCCCGATTATCCAACTTCCCTCACCTTATCAACTTCATCAATCAAATCCTCCAGTTGCTCAGGTTCTTCCTCTCCCGCCTCTTCATGCCCATCTATCTCATCATCGCCGCCCCCTCTTCCTTCGTCCCCATTTTCTCCAAGTTTGTGCTCTTCATCATCGTGTTCGAATTCTTCGTCGTCCTTATGTTTCTCAAACTCTGCAGCTATTTCTTCTAGTCGAGGATCGAGGCCCTTTCTCCCCAATTTCAATATTTCATGCAGCCCACCACCTCGTACTTTTTTGGATAATTTTCTGGAACTCTCCTCCAATGCCACCTTTTTACCATAGAATTGCTTCACCTGGTAAAGCAACCATATGCAAATGGCAAGCAATAGGCATATCTGAAGAGCATGCTTTACCTTGAACCCTTTTGACCTCTGGTTCCTACTGGGTGATTGCTTCAACATGGTCAATTTCACACTACCTTCCTATATCTTGATGAACCTCTTACATTGGGATTTGGATCAAGAACTGCAAAGACTACAAAAAACAGTGAAAAACGAAAGTAATGAATACATTGTAACATGTTTAGTTCTACTATTGTGGAAATGAAGGAAAATAATGTAAATTGTAAGAGCTTGTTAACAATTTGACTCTAACTTAAAATTTTTTTATCCCAACTCTTTATCGTCTCAATCACAAACTTCTATATCTTTCGTTACATCTTAAACCTAGTCAATCTTGGTTTTTGTTTTCCTATGATTATCATCAATTTAATCATATAACTTGTTCTATATCGTAAAAAAAACGAATGATTGAATGAAATTATAGATATTAATGAACAAAATAATGTTCAAGCATGATTACTTGTTAACCACTAAGAAACACTTCACGAAAGGACAGAAGAAATCGTGATATTCTGTTAGAAACTAAAAACTTCAGGCAGCAGATAGAATGCGTAGAAAAACCAGAGAAATTCACAGAAATATTGGAGACCCAAATAAAATAATCCAAAACCCATTAGATTTAGAAGATTATGAGAAACGTACCAGTGAATAAACTTGGGTCGCAGTCCAAGAAAAAATAAATAAGACAACTGGGTCGCAAGTGGGAATTTGATAAATAAAAAAAAGAAGAGAGAGAGAGAGAAGAGTTCAAGCTTTGAAATCACATGGATATGTATATGTATATATGAACTGGGAGAGGTAAAGAGTAATGAGTTGTTGAAGATGAGTTAGTGTGCTTTCTTGGTAAGCAACTGTGCTTTCTGTAAGGCAGAGGAGCTGGATTGAGCAGGGCATGGTCACCGTTCACCGACACATGGTAGCTGGAGGGGAGAGAGAGAGAGAGAGAGGACAACATTAATAGCTCAGCTTGGTAGCTGATGGTTGTTACCCACCCATTTATTAACCACATGTTATTACTTTGGCAGAGATGACACAGATTTTTTGTTTCTTCTCTTAAATGTACAGCAATTTATGCTTAGAAGTAGAGTTATTGAGAGATAAGAATCAGCTCTAGATCTTCGTCTTGATTAAAATTATGCTGTTTCTTTTTTTTTCTTACGCCAAAAACTTTGTTCAAAGCTCCTAAGAGTCAACTCCAAGGGATAGCTCTTCTAATAAAGACGAGTTTGTCCGACGTGATGATTTGAAAATTTTTTAAGGTCATGAATGATTTATTCAAAATTTCTTGTAAATATCCTAATTTTAGGATGAATGACTTGTCTTAGACCGAATTGAAGAGGGGGGTTAATAGAGTTGCGTGTAAGTTGGGTTGGACACTTTTAACCATTTAACTAAAAAAAAAAAAGCTCCTAAGAGTTGAGTCGTGATCACCCGACGATCTAATTTGCGATGATTTAGAGACAATAGGGGTGTGGATTCTTTTAGTTTAATTTCTTATGTTGTTAATTTTAATCAAATTCAATCACTTATATCGTCCATTATTTTGGATCTTATTAATAGATTTACATGGATTGCAATGAATTTAAGGTGACCTACCACAATTAATGGTAGATTTACATGGATTTCACGTGATGATTTTTCATTATTGATTTAGATGGCAGTTGGGGCATGAGACTATATTGGTATTTTGGTCTAATGTGTGAAAAATTCAAGGATGAAATTGATAAAATTAAAATTTTAAAGACCAAAATTCAACAAGTGATAAATTTTAGAGGCTATTAATGTAATTTGTTCTTTTATTTTTCCCGTGACGTTGATAACTATAGTTTTGGTGAGTTTCTATTCAAATTAGATGGTGATTGGCCATCTCCATTATTATGCCAATAATAGGGCTATAAAGCTGCCAAATTATGTAAGCCTTTTTATGCTTTTTGCAACGAACAATACTATTAATACTTAATTTATTGACCTAATTTATTATAATTTTTATGTTTTGTTTGATAGGAAGAATCGAAAGTATGAGAGATATATTTTCTATCCCTTAAGGAAAAAAAGTATGAATGATATATTTTTTTTCATTTGTATTTAGGAGAATGGAAGAAAAATAAAAATAATTAATTTTTTTTTTATACTTTGTAAGATAGAAAAAATATATATATTTTTTAAAATTTTAAAATTTTTAATTTTTAAAATTTTTAATTTTTTAAAAAAATATAAATACATATTTTATCATTATATTTATATATGAAATTAATATATAAATATATATATATAGACAAATAATTAATTTTTTATACATTTTTTTTTCTGATTTTAGAAGGGTTGATCTTGGTAAGTTGGACAGAAAATTCATTTATTTACTTTTTCATATTTTATAATTTTTTTCTTTATTAAATATGATATTTTATCTATACATTCAATTTTTTATTATTTTATTCTTTTTATCATACCAAACGGAGTATTAAATTAACTGTAGACTCTATAAAATATTAGAATTTAGTATTGATTTTATGATTTCATTGAAATCACGTGATTAGATTAACGAATTATGTGATATTTTTAGATTAAAAAATCATTATTCTTTCGCAATACCTATGACCATCCTTGATGATGTCATGTAATCACACCTTTTGCACGTGTGCACTCTTTAGTTTAACTTTTAATTAAAGTAAGGAAAATTTTAACCATACCTGTCGTTTATTATATCTTTAAAAATACTCCATCTATTTTTTAAATTTTCACTGACATCTTCTCTCAGGTTAAAAATATTAACTAGAATACTATTTTACTAAACTATCTATGATATATTTGAGGATAAATTTCATCCATACTCTCTCTAAATAAGCATAACTTCAATGAGATTTCCTTTGTTTTATTTTTTGTGTTAAAAATTTGAGTCCATTAAAAATTATATTTTTTAAGTATTAAAATTTAAGCCGATTAAAATTTAATTTGAGTTGATTAAAAATAATTTTTAATTAACTCAAATCAAATTTTAATCATCTTACACTGAATTTTAATTTGCCCAAATTTTAATACATAAAAAAATAAAAATTTTAATTGACTCATGTTTTAACGAATTAAATTTTAATTGACACGAATTTTAATAAATAAAAAAATATAAATTTTAATTGATGCAAAAATGAATTTTAATCGGTGCTAACAACTTAGGTAGAGGTCAAATCGGTTCGAATTTTAATACGTAAAAAAAAATTAATTAGTTCGAATCCAATTTTAATCGATTCAAATTGTAATATGTAGAAAAATAAATTGTAATTAACTTGAATTTTAATATGTAAAAAATTAAATTTTAATCTGTTTGAATTTTAATCGAATTTTATTTAGAAAATTTATTTGGGATTTATGTAGGGTCATTTTTAGTATTTTAGATGATTTTTTTTTTTGGTTAGAAATGATGGTTTAATGACAGGAGGTGTCAGTAATGTTTAAATATAAACTAAAAGGAGTGTTAATTGAATTTTTTTGTTTGTCTCTATTAAATTTTTTAATAGAAAGTGACACATATGAGTTATAATCCGATCATTTGAGTGGTACACCGTCACTTTCTCTGTTAAAAAATGTATTAGTTCGTTCCCCATTTACTTACGGTCCTTTTTTACTTTTATTTATGAGATTAGTAAGTAAAGTTCGATTTACAAAGACTCTTACTGCTCACACCACCACCGACCACTCTATGATGCAGGAGTTTGGACTATAACTCGAGTTGGCCTTTAGAGAACTTACGGTGCCTAGCTGTGTAGGCCATATTAGTGGGCTTTCTTAATGGGGTCGGACTATTAGGATCATGTCCAAGGAGGGGTGGGTTCCATCCCATCCCATCCCAGTAAAATGTACTTATTCTATTACTACTAGTTGTTAATAACAATTCCAAAAACCCCAAGGTCCATAGAAATTGATTAATACAGCTAAGCTATTGATTTATTGAATTCACTTATCCTATTTTTTGGATAAATTTTTTTATTCTTTTTTTGTGGTAAAATGTATCACTTATTATAATTTTTTTTATTTAATATGATTTGAAAAATTCAAAAAAAAAAACAGAATATTTCCCTGAAAAAAGGGCAGCACAACATGATATAATGGACCAGTCTCTAGTACAGTGCTGCCTATTTTGATCCCTTCGAGGAGACTCCAACTTTTCTTCTGCAAAAAAATATAAATCTTGTAAGATACGAAATCAGACTAGACTGACAATGGTTGGTTGCTATCCTCACTCACATCTCTTTCATATTAAAAATAGCTCTCTCTCTCTCTCTCTCTCTCTCATTCATGTCGTCACCTTTCCTAAACTTCACAGAAAACGATACACATTAATCCAAACTACTCCCATGCTTTCCAAATTTTAAGAAAGCATCCTTCTTATTGCAGCCACTGCTATTATCTAAAACAGTAAAGTGTTATTTTATTTAAGGGTAAATTACACTTTACCCTCAACTATTACCTTTGTTTCATTTTATACCCTCAACTGTAAAATTCCTATATTATAACTTAAAATATTAATTTTATTTTATATCACTCCAATTGATAACGAATGTAAATTTTTTGATGATAAATGTGTATGTGAGTAGTCTGTAATACCAATAAGCAGTGCATTTGTGTAGGTCAAAAATTAAGAAAAATACTTATTCATGACTTTTCTCTTCCAAAATTTCAATTTTTTTTCATCCATCGGACCGACCTTTTTTTTCTTTCCAACAACCATTTAGTTACAAGAGGTAAAATAAAGTAGTATTAAGCATTTGACGGGAAACTCTTTGGAGGGTTTTTCTCCCTCATTTGAAAGATTTTCAAATTTGTTATCTTATACGAAACAAAATTGATATTTTAGTGTAAAATATGAAAAATTTTATAATTAAGGGTACAAAATAAAATAAGGGTAATACTTCAAGGGTAAAGCATAATTTACTCTTTATGAAATAAAAACATATTATTACGTATTTTTTTAGTTTACAGTCAACGAATTACAAATCTTCCAAATTAAAATTAAAAACTTCGGGTCAATTTCGAAATGGTACCGTAACCAATGATTCAAAATGCCGATACATATCCAAAAGGAAAAGGAATTGGGTGATGTTTAAACTGTGTTTATTGTACAATACCTGATATATCGGGTTTATCTATAATTGTATTTAGTTGAGTTGAATTTATGTCCGTTTATTATTTGAACCCGTTTAAACCAATTTGAATCTCATCAATGCTGTATCATATGTAAGGGTCTACAGGATTGTTGTGCATAATTCTAATTAACAAAGCTTAGCCATTGAAAAGAGATTCTCTGATACACTATAATTATGAGAGAGAGAGAGAGAGAGGTGTACAAGGAGAGCTAAATTGAAGTCATAAATATGGTATATTGACAGTTGAAGAAATTTATTTTCTTCACAAAAAAAGAAAAGTAAAGAAAAGAAAAGAAAAGAAACCCAATTTCCATTCCAATCAAGGATTGAAAATAAAGTCCCCACATTTACACTTCCAACACATAGGCTTGTAGTTGGAGTTGTCTTCACCTCTTGAATATGTCACACTTGGGACTGCAAAGAAATGATGGCTTCTTGTTTGTTGGCTTTTGAGGTAGGGAACAATAGGGACCTGAACTGCCTCGCAATGTCCACAAGACCTGCACCTTATCTCGCATCTTGGGGGTCTTGATCCTATCAGAGCTCTAGCCATTACCACATTCTCTTCCCTACCCTTCTGTTTGTGTAATTAGGTGTAAACCGTGTTAGTTACCAACACATGCACAAGATAGTTCAAGTAGAGAGAGAGAGAGAGAGAGAGAGTCTGACCTGAGCAGCTTCAACCAGTTTGGAAATAGGTCTACCTGTAAAGTATGGAAAAATAAGCAAAATTCACTTCAAATATAGGGGAATGGGTATAATTTGAAACAATTTGATAGTGACCAACTCACCTTCAACCATAAATTTTACTTGGGTTGAACTTAGAAACAACAGAAAGAGCAACCAAATATATATTTGGCGATATTTATG